CTATGTCTTATCACACTAGCATATATTCATACAAATCATGTCACACACATATAATAACATATAACTCAGACACTTATAACAAACACATGCTCATGTTCATGCATTCATGCATAATACTATAGGAAATATACTTGTTGCAAGTCTTATTTCCATTAAACACCATATACTATCTAGTGTGCACTCACCTAGTCTCACTAGTTAACATTGTTCCCTTATCTCTTCTTGATGGCTATTACTTGACACCTTGTCCGGACATTGCTCTCGATTGATATCTACACAATCACACGTATAATATACATATAAGCATTCCACTAGGCATACTCTAATTTTCATTTCTTAAATTAAAAGAAATATATATTTCCATTTTTCCTCTGAAGTGTATCAGTGCACACTATAAGGTATCGATACATCCCTTCACTAGTGTATCGGTACACAAATTACATTCGAAAGTTTTCCGTTTCAAGGGGGTATCGATACACTCCTTAATGTATCAATACACCATGAAGATGTTCTTCAAAATTGGTCTTAGTGTATAAGTACATGTTCATAGGGTATCGATACACCCTGCCCAGAACAGACTTTTTCACCCAATAATTCATTCAATTCAGTGCAATTGTTTCATATTTCACCCCCTTACATATTCCTAACTTACATACACATACTTAAACTCATTAATACTCATTTACCACCTCTTAAACCTCAAAATTCTATCCTCCATATGAAATTCAAGAATTACCCCAACTTTGCAACATGTTCTAAATTCAATTCTAATGCTTTAAACCTCTTAATCCTTCTTATGACAAGTCAAAATCATAATTAGAATTTCAAAAACCTCTTTATATCAAGAATTCATTTCTTAACCCTTAATGAAATTTCCTTTCTAATTCTCTCTACTTGATTATTTAAGCTTATATAAGCTTTCCTTAAGCTTATATAACACCCAAATAATCAAAACCAACTTATAAGTTCAAGAATTAAAAAGCTAAAATTAAACTCACCTTTATGAAGTAAACCAACGGGAAGAAGAAAGAAGAAGAAAGCTTTCCAGATACTTCCTCACCCATAAGCTTCTCTCTTTAAATAAGAGATAAATATCTTTTAAATAAAAAGACCATAATACCCTTTCAATTCTTCCATAGTTACCATTTAATATACTATCAGAAAAATACATTTTAAATCCCTAAACTTTTCAATTTTTCCTAAATTGATCACCAAATTCCAAAATTTCTCATTTTAATCACTAACCCAATCTTTGGGATGTTACAATATCCCAATCAGTCAGCAGGTTAACGTCCAATTCAAATTACTGTTATTTTTTAATAAAAAATGATGAGTTTGTAATATATGAATAGTAAAGTGGTCATTTTATAACTTTTAATAATTAGAGACTCGATAAATAACGTCCTATGGTTAGAGTACCATTTGTGTACTTTACCCTAAAAAACTCTTCAGCATTTATATATTAAATCTTTTATTATATTTAATTCCGTTATATGCGATGATTAAAATTGGGATGATGTACGAAATTTCGAATCCTTGAAAGTTCATAAAATTGAGCAAATCCAAATCAAAATTATCGGTATCTTCCTTAAGCCGCCATCAAAGTCCAGAAATCAATTTGAGAATTGAGACCCACACTCTTCCACGTTAATTTTCATTTTGCTTTACTTTATTTTCTCATCCATTTTCTAAATTATTTATACTTCTTTTTTTTTACATCATCATTGTCGGTCACTTGCATCTGTTGGAAACACTTTTTTCACTAATAATGAAATTAGATATCATTTTTCAGGTTTCAAGTGATCTCAACAAAGAAAAATCGATATCCATTTGAGAAAACCAACATCATTTTTTATCTGGGTCTCGTCTTTCCTCCATGTTTCTGCAAATGTCATAGCCATTGAAGTTCATATGCTGATTTTTGTTCAGGAAAGTAACAAGCTCTGATAAGGAATGTGACCATCATCAAAGGTTCCATCTTTGTGTGTTGTTATGTTTGTTTACAGTAGCTTATGGTACTACAGATCTCAATGACTTGAAAATCTTGAATGATTTCAAGCAAGGATCGAGTAATCCGGAGCTGCTTAAATGGCCCGAAACTGAAGAAGATGACCCTTGCGGCACTCCTCCTTGGCCCCATTTGTTCTGTTCTGGTGATAGAGTCGCTCAAATTCAAGTCCAAAATCTTGGCCTCAAAGGACCTCTTCCTCTAAACCTCAACCAGCTTTCAAAACTCTTCAATTTGGGGCTTCAAAAGAATCACTTTAATGGTAAATTACAAACCTTTAGCGGTTTATCAGAGTTGAAGTTTGCTTACTTGGATAACAATGAATTTGATAGTATTCCAGATGATTTCTTTGATGGATTGAGCAGTGTAAGAGTCTTGGCTTTGGATTACAATCCGTTTAACAAGACTACTGGATGGTCGATTCCTAATGAATTGGCTAATTCAGCTCAGTTGACAAACCTTTCTTTGGTTAACTGTAATATGGTTGGTCCATTGCCTGAGTTTCTAGGGGAGTTGCCATCTCTTGCAGCACTTAAACTTTCTTATAACAGATTGTCCGGCGAGTTTCGGTGAGTCTTTGATGCAGATTTTGTGGTTGAATTATCAAGATGGTGAAGGGATGACTGGTACCATTGATGTTGTTGCTAATATGGTGTCTTTGAAGCAGCTTTGGCTTCATGGGAATCGATTCTCTGGGACAATCCCTGAGAATATTGGGAATTTGACATCTTTGAAGGATCTGAATCTGAATAGGAACCAGCTTGTTGGCTTGATTCCTGGGAGCTTGGCTTCGGTAAAAGCCGGTAATTTTTCTTATGATTCGAATTTGTTTTGTCAATCTAAACCTGGTATTGCTTGTGCTCCTGAAGTTGATGCACTTCTGGACTTCCTTGGCGGGATGAATTACCCTATGAATCTAGTTTTTCAATGGTCTGGTAACGAGCCTTGCGCTGGTCCATGGATGGGGTTGAGTTGCAACCAAAATTATCGGGTTTTGATCACCAACTTGCCTCGACGTAATCTTAGTGGTACACTTAGTCCTTCACTTGCAAAGTTGGAATCATTGATGGAAATTAGACTAGGGGGAAATTATATCCATGGTACTGTTCCTGAGAACTTCACTGATCTGGGAACTCTGAGAACTTTGGATCTAAGTACAACAATCTCGAGCCTCCGTTACCGAAATTTCATGAAAGCGTGAAGATCATCATCGAAGGAAACCAGCTGTTGGTCAGTAATCATACAAGAAAACCTCCTTCCCCTACTAGGACTATCAGTCCTGCACCTGCAGAGTCTCCTCCAAGTGATCAATCAGGTGGTAAAGAGTCACCACCATCCCCGAATCGAGATACCAGAACTAAGTCATCTACCGCCACTGCCAAACAACCGGATTCCCAATCCTGGTTTCCAAGGATTCAAACTGTTAATTGTGGCAGGTACTGCAACCATTGCTTTTATGGTTCTTTTAGGGGTTCTGTTTTATATATTCTTTTGTAAGCAGAGAAAAAGAGCTTATGAGGTGCCTAGTTCAATTGTTGTTCATTCGAAAGATCCATCTGATATGAAAACATAGTTAAGATAGCTGTTTCCAATAACACCAGTGGAAGCTTATTTAGTAAAACTGCGACAAGCTCAAGTTGTAGTCATAGTGGTGCAACACAAAAGTCCCATATAACCGAGTCTGGAAACTTGGTCATTTCTGTTCAAGTACTTCGGAAAGGGACCAACGATTTTGCCGGAGAGAACGAGCTTGGTCGTGGCGGGTTTGGGACCGTTTAAAAGGGTGTACTCGAAGATGGAACTCAACTAGCAGTTAAGAGGATGGAAGCTGGGATCATAAGCAATAAGGCATTGGATGAATTTCAATCCGAAATTGCCGTTCTATCTAAGGTCCAGCATCAGCATCTGGTTTCTCTTTTGGGTTATTCCATTGAAGGTAATGAGAGGCTTCTTGTCTATGAGTTTATATCTCAGGGTGATATAAGCAAGCATCTGTTCCATTGGAAGAGCTTAAAATTGGAACCTCTATCTTGGAGAAGGCGGATTAGTATTGCATTGGATGTTGCTAGAGGAATGGAATATCTTCATAACTTGGCTCGACAAACCTTTATACACCGAGATCTCAAATCTTCCAACATCCTTCTAGATGATGACTTTCGAGCAAAAGTTCGAATTTCAGGTTGGTGAAACTTGTTCCGGATGGAGAGAAGTCCATGGCGACTAGACTCGTTGGAACATTCGGATACCTAGCACCTGAATATGCAGGTTAGCAATCCGAATTTGCATCGCGAGTGAATTTTCTATTCTATTATTTACATTTTAGCGTCTTAGTGGCCTCATAATTCTTGTTGGTTGCAGTGATGGGGAAAATCAGTACTAAAGTTGATGTATTTAGCTATGGGGTGGTGTTGATGGAACTAGTGACCGGATTAACAGCACTCGCTGAGGGGCGCTAGGAGGAAACTCGTTACTTGATGGAATGGTATGGGAGAATCAAATCGAACAAGGACAAACTCTTGGCCGCAATCGATCCAGCTCTCGAAGTGAATGAGCAAATCTACGAGAGCATTGCCACCATAGCTGAACTAGCCTGTCATTGCACTGCAAGGGAGCCTTATCATCGGCCCGACATGGGCCATGCCGTGAATGAGCCAGCACCTTTAGTTGAAGAGTGGAAGCCGGTCGATGACGAATCAGAGGGTTACTCAGGCATTGATTACGACCAGCCACTTCCCCAGATGTTGAAGGTTTGGCAGCCAGCTGAAAGCCGAGGCGTGAGCTATACAAATCTGGATGATAGCAAAGGAAGCCGACAGGATTTGCGGACTCCTTCACATCAATCGATGGCCGATAATGGAAGGCAAGACCATGCCCTACAAGCAAAAAGTTATGGTTTTTGGAGCCATGGAACATGTCTATCATGGTAGTGTAGATAAGAGAGATGCATGTTTTCCATATTTGTTTATAGTATCTTTGTATCAGTTTATAGTTTTCATTGCAGCGTAAAGGCAACATCAAAGCCACAAATACCTAGTCATTGAATAAAACATATATGTTCATTAAAGGACTCCTACTTGTTTTCGTAAGTCAAATGATGAACATAATCTGGAGTTTATTGTCAAACATTGATCATCACTCGGTGAGACTTTCGTTGGAAAAATTGCCACTCGTTCTCACAAGAGAAAATAACTTCATAATAATAAAAGCCTCTGTTCTTTCCTTTTGAAGGAAAAGCAAAACATAATCACTGTTCTTTCCTCGGCCACCATTGTTTTAGTCAATCTGGTAATTGCAGTTATTGAAAACGGTACCAAATTATTGGTGAAATCAACAATAGAGTAGAATTCATTCATGGACATCTCTCTTTTTTATTACCATTGGGAAACCCACGTGCCCACCCTCTTTATCTAAAAAATAAAAAATTAAATAATAAAATTAATAAACTACCAAAATTACCCCTCTTTTCTATCTCCACCATCAACATCACCCTCCTTGCCCCACCCTCCTTCAGCTCCGAAAAACACCGGCCACAGTCATCGCCCGCGACATCCACCACAACATCACCGAAAGCAAGGTCTTGCTCCATGGAATTGGTCAAATTCACAACATAAGGCACCCAAACATTGTTAACATCTTCCGAGATTAACTGGCTCTCTAAATCCTGCTCGTCAAACGAGAGTTCGACAAACTCTAAATATCCAACATCTCCCAATGAATCAAAAGCATCTCCACCAACATCCCACATCTTGGTTTTCTCATCCTCATATTGACTAGAACTCCTTGATAAAAGACGAAAATTGTAGTTTATGTAAACTAAATCTTCTGTGCGACTCAGATTTAACTTATTCCTCCTAAGTGAATGGATAAAAGAGTAAGTGCTCCAATTTTTTTCACAACAAGAGGATGAAGTAGGTTGTCCAAACACTTTGAAAGCCAAAGATTGGAGCAATGGAATTTCGGCACCAAAGTTAGCCCACCAACTTTTCGGATCCGAAGAATACCTCTTTGTAAGAGACATCAAATCTTCAAAAGGCATGAGCTTAAGTGAGAAACAAGTAAATTCATCCAAGACTTTTTCATAATCTTCATCGTTTGAAAATAACCTACGAAAACATTTCATTATCTCTCGAGATATTTCACCATCTCTATGAGGAGCAACTTTACAAGAATCCTCGCTTAGCTAACCATCACTATAAAACCTTCAACATATTAAAAAGAAAATTACACATAGTATCAAAGAACTAGGAGTTGAAAATATAAAATTCAAAACTAACAAAGTTATGTATGTACCTTGGATTTAGTGAATGAGCTATGCAATGGAGAGAAGTATAACTCTTTGTCCAACGAGCTATAAGAATCCCATAATCAACATGACAAAAAGGACTGAAGTCTGAAAGATGACGTTTTTCCTTCTTGTAAGTTTCACACTTCACTTTCTCAATCATGGAATCTCACAACTCATATATCAAATGAAGACATGACTTATTAGTGTCGCATACTCTGAGTATGTCATAGATGGGCTTTATAAAATCAATGATGTAAGCTACTTTATCCCACCAATCATCACTCACAAGCTTTTCTTTCACAAAGTTTGCTTTCACCGTGTCATTCTCCCTATAAGAATTCCATTCATCACTAATGACCATTGCTTGAAGTCCCTTCTTGATGAACTTAAATCTCTTAAGCATCACAATGATCGAAGCAAAACGAGTATCGGCAACTGAAAGTAACTTAAGAGGACTAAATCTTTGAAAGATTACCAATCTCATGTTGTGGTTCATGATGAAATTCTTGATTTGTACGGCATCCCATGAATATCAATAATTCAATGACACAAGTCATATGTTTCCTCATTTCCCTTGATATTTTTTGTTGAACAAATGTTCTTCAAGGCAAGATTAAGTGTATGAACAATACACGGTGTCCAATAAATATGAGGATACATGCTCTCAATAATCTCTCCTACCCCCTTGCAATTAGCTGTATTGTCAGTAATAATCTGCACCACATTTTGATGACCAACCTCATCAATCACTTCTTTCATCAAATTAGTAATGAAAAACTTATCTTTGACTTCACCAAAACAATTCACAACTTTAAAAAACATAGGCCCATTTCCAGAAGTAGCCATGAAATTAATGAGATGCTTTCTTGTTGGATCACTCCAACCATCACACACAATAGTTAACATTTTTTCTTGTAATGTTTCTTTAATCGGTTGCAAGAGTTTCTCAACATTATTTTTTTCTTGTTGGAGCAATGTGGTTCGTAATTTATTATAACCAGGGGGAACATAACCAGGAATATTGTGAGTTGCAGCAAAAGTGAAAGCCCTATGATAATGAGGATTTCTAGCAAGATTAAAGGGCAAATCATCGGTGTAGAACATTCTTGCAATTTGTTCATCTAATTGGGCTCTCGTATTCATGTTGAATGCTCTAGCAAGAGGTAACAAGCTAGGTTTTCTCTTCTTAGAAGAATAATCAATCTCAATTCCAGCTAAAGATTGAGAGGGCAAAGAAATTTCTCTAGTTACTTCTTGTTTCTTTCTATTCTCCGACTCTTCTACCAGCCTTACCATTTCAAGATTTTTATTTGTAGTTACCTTTTTGCAAGTTGCAATTCCTTCACCTGAAATTTGAAGCAAATGTGTCTTTATCCTAGTATAGCTTCCATTACGAGTTTCGCCACAAATGTTACATCAAAAATTCCAAGTTCCTGCAACATTCCCTCACTTTTCTATCTTTGTCACATAGTTCCACCATGGTGATAAATTCTCACTTTGGGATGATGAAATTGACCCACTCCCACTATTACTTCCAGTCCCACTACCACTTTGAGATTTCATATTTATACTAAATTAATTTGTTTACATCAAAAAAATTAAATGAGTTTAAATATCATGCATCAATTAAATGTGATTGAAAAAAAAGCATGTGAATATAAAAGGCTAAAAGAGATGTTCATCATAAAACAACAACATTCACATGAACCAAATCCTTGGACGCATATAAAACAACTAAGAAAATAAAACATCTTAGCAAATCTATATAGCAGGCTGTTGAGTTAATCGATCGACGAATATGGCCAAGAGGGGGGTGAATTGGCAATTAAAAATTTCGGTGGAAGCTTTTGCAGAAAATTGAAAGTAATTGCGTAGCGATTTAGAGTGGTTCGACTTTCTCAACCAAAGTCTATGTCCACTACCTTAGCTATCCACACTAAGGATTTTCCACAAATTTACTAATTTGTCTTTCTTTTGAGGACAAAGAGTAACCTTACAAATCCCTCAAGAATTATACCACAAATTCTTGAGAACACTCTCTCCCAAAGAGAACAATACAAATTTTGCAAACTTACAAGAAAATCCTCACAAGGCAAAATGTTTGCACAATTCTAGAACAAAGAAAGAACACTCAAGAATAATACAATTGAGCACAATAAGTGTTCTTGAAAGCAAAAATGAATATTGAATGAAATAGGTTTGAAAATGCTCAAACTTGAGGTTTGATGCTTTCTCTTTGATTCTCTCTTGATTCTTGTTGATTGTTGTTTCTTGTTTTTTATCAATGGCATCTAAGCTTATTTAAATACTCCTTCAATTGATTCTGAACGTTGGGGATGATTAGTGGAGTCAATGGAGCCGTTTAAGTGTGAAAACAATTAATAAAACAGCTTGGATCGTGGGGGGAATCGGTTCCCCCTCATAGGGAATCGGTTCCCTAAGTGTAAAATTCAAATATTTTGACCGTTAAATAGGGGGAATCAGTACCCCTTTGGGGGGAATCAATTCCCTCCGAGCATTCTATTTTTCTCGGAGCCAAACCATTCAGGGGGAATCGATACCCCCTTTGGAGGGAATCAGTTCCCTAAGGACAATCTGGAATTTTTGGCTTTGAAAAGGTTAGAAATACTTTTGAAATTGTTTTGAAATTATTTTAAGATTGAAACTTAATTTTACACTTGAGAAAGGATTAAAAATGACATTTGAAAGATTTGGAGTAATATTTTGATATTCGAATAATTATATCGAATATACTTAGAAAATCTTTTTATAAAATCTTAAAATTCATTTAACTTAATTTGTTATATCGAAATATCAAAATGTTTTCAACAATCTCTCTCTTTTTGATATAACAAAACATTTTAGTAATTTTAAGATTTTGAAAACAAGTTTGAAATTATTCCCCCTTACTATAACACACTTCTCCCTCTTATGATACTTTTCCCCCTTTTTGTTAAATCAAAAAGACTTTAAAACGTTTTAAACAAGGTTTTGAAAACTTTAGCCAACTGATTTAGAAATTTAAAGCTCTAAGCTACTAAGATCACAATCAAGAGAAATATTAGCCATTAGTTTCATAATCAATATCCATAAACAATGTGACATGGAAAAAAATTGGTCATTTATCTAACATGATGTAAATGATGCAATAATGAATAAATTTAACCAAACCAAATATATAGAAACATAAGTTTAAACATCCATCAAACAAATCCAAACATCCAACAATCAAAGTCAAACAATCCAAAAGCAATCAAAATGTTGAAAACAATAAGTTTGAAATTTTTATCCAATAAAGCTAAGCAAGAAACAAGGCCTAATCGTCCATCGGTGGATCAGGAGGAGATAAACGTGTCCAAATATTGGTCACATCACGTGAAAGTGCATCGACCCTCTCGTCCAAAGTGTCGAAACGACGGTTCATCGTTTTGTTGGTAGTAGTCAGATTAGAATCGATGGATGCAAGCCTCATATCAAGATTCTCCATAAATGATCAGAAGTATGGAGGCACTGGATCTTCTTGTTGTACTTGTTCCTCGTGCTGCTCCAGCTCATCGTCGGCTTCATCTGCTTCCGGAGTTTGCTCCCCGGTACGAACCCAAAGACCAGTTTCTTCATTGATTTTCCATCCCGGTTTATTTAAAGAGAATAGATTGATTTGGTTTTTGAGTGGAAAAGAGGCATCAAGACCAACTCTAAGCCCGGCATTTTTAAACAGATTACTTAGAATAAAACCGTAAACTAGAGATGAACATAGTTTCTTATTAGGAACAAGATTTACGGTTTCGACAAGTTCAGCAAAGATAATTTGTGGTAAGTTGATTTTAAGATTATTTTGGACACAATGTAGCCAAAATAGATCTAAGGCTCGAAGAGTAGAGTAACGGCCTCCGAATGGTCGAAACCACCAAGAGATCATTAGATGAAGAAAACGGTCATGAAGATCTAAAACACTCGCACTATCCCTTCGTTTATACTGAGATCCTACCATTTGTTTTTCATTATCTAACCCGTCATTATCTAATCCTAATGCGGTGGCAATGTATTCCGGGTCAAGTTAAAAGAATCATCCTAGAAGATAGGATCGAATACCTATGGATCCTGTTTTATCCCGGTTTTGAATGCAAACGGCATTAGAGTAGAAGATACGAACAAATTGGTGATAAACTATTGGTTCGAGCTCGAACAATTTATCAATTTTCCACTCTTGAAGGGTAGGAAGATGTCAAAAATTGATGTCTAACATGGCTTGAAGAGATGGGATTCGTTCTTCCCAGATTTTGAAATACTCAAAGTATTGAGAATACCTAAAGAAAAGATTTTGTCTACGACCGGGTTCATTGAAGCACGAATTACGAATGGTCATGTTTGGATCATCGGGATTAGGATTCGAAATTTGTTGGATAGGTGGAGGATTTGGAGGTGAGTTTGGAGGTTGGTTAGAACGACTAGAGGAATGCCTAGATCATTTGTGAGACATGATTTAAGATAATCGGAATGGAAAGAGTAACTGCAATTTTAAACATATGTATGCAACATAATCAATCCCAAAACTCAATTGAGTCCGCAATATTTCAAGGTTCTCTAAACCAAATCCTAATGGGCAAAGTTTTGAAAACTGTTTGAAAAACAAGTTTTGAAAATCAAGAAATGTATATTTATTATAGTAACAACATAATTAAATCAAAAACACAAATTTTGAATTTAATAAAAGATTTTTTTAATTTCGAAAATTCAAAATTAATTGAAAATTTGTTTTTTTTTATGAAAATTGTTGTAAAATCTAGTTTCTAAACACTAAAACAATCAATGCCCGATATAAAATTCAACCTAGAACTAATTAAAACTAGTTATAAAATCAAAAATTGATAAAATAGAAGTTTTAGAAAAATACCTTGAAGATTTTCGGAGTTTGTGAGAATGTGATGATTTTTGCACTAGTTTGATGATTCCAACAGGTTTAAGAGATGATATTTGAAGTAATTCCTACTAAAAATTGATGTTTTGAAGCAAAGTGGAGATTTGGGAGATAGAGAGAGTGAATGGCGGCAAAAGGAAGAAGAAGAGGGTTTGAGGAAATAGGCTATTTTGGCCGTGTTATATCTAGAACCCCCAGGGGGTATCGATTCCCCTACGGGGGGAATCGGTTCCCCTTCAAAGGGGGAATCGGTTCCCCTTCAGGGGGTATCGATTCCCTCTGCACCAAAATGCTAAAACTCTGATTTTAAACACTCAAAATGCTAAATTAATTTGCTCTAGTGGTATTGACAACTCATATATTGAAAATTAATCATGTTCAATCAAACAATTTTATCCTTAAACATAAAATTAATTTTCTCTAAGAATCATAAACTCCCCCTAACTAATAGCAAAGAAGGCAATCAAAAATTATTATTATTATTATAAGCATTTTTCATTTATTCTTAAAAGTGCTAAAATTAATTTAAACACTAAGTGAAGGTATGTCAGTTAAACCTAATTCTCTCATAAGTGTCCAAAATCTTTCTTTGTCTAAAGGTTTTGTAAAGATATCCGCTAATTGGTTCAAAGTATCAACAAATTCTAGAACTACATCTTCCTTAGTGACATGGTCTCTAATGAAGTGATGTCTAATTTCAATGTGCTTAGTTCTAGAGTGTTGGATGGAATTTTTAGTGAGACAAATAGTACTAGTATTGTCACAATTGATAGGAATGGTACCTACTTCAATTCCATAATCAAAAAGTTGTTGTTTCATCCATAAAACTTGTGCACAACAACTACCGGCTGAAATGTATTCCGCTTCAGTGGTAGATAATGCAACACAATTTTTTTTTCTTTGAAAACCAAGAAATCATCATATTTCCAAGGAATTGGCAAGTACCGAAGGTGCTTTTCCTATCTAATTTGCATCCTCCATAATCCGCATCAAAGAAGGCATGCAAGCTAAAGCTAGAGTCTCTAGGCTACCAAAGTCCTAAACTAAGAGCGTCCTTAAGGTATCTAAAGATTCTCTTAACAGCTAGTAAATGTGATTCCTTAGGATATGATTGAAATATAGCACATAAGCAAACACTAAACATAATGTCCGGTATACTTGCAGTTAAATAAAGCAAAGAGCCAATCATTGACCTATATAATTTAACATCCACACATTTACCTCCTTCATCTATGTCAAGCTTTGTTGATGAGCTCATTGGAGTGTCATGAGGTTTCCCATTTTCCAGTCTAAACTTCTTGAGCATATCTTTGACGTACTTAGCTTGATTGATGAAGATCCCATCTTTTCTTTGCTTGATTTGGAGTCCCAAGAAAAA